AAGGCACGTACTAAAAATCACAGTGTGAGATCGTTCGAATAACAACGCTATCATTTATTACGAATTTGAATGTGACATTCAACGATAAAATAACTGCACAAGCAGGAAACTCATCACAGTGCATTGTTTGATTTGCCTCATCTTCACACTGATTTCTAATGCTGAATCTGTTTTGACTCGGAATGTACATTCGTTGCATTTTTATTTATAATACATATATAGTAGTTAGGGATAATATATTAAACGACAGTTGCTGAATTCATTTACGTCGGTGTTGCGACCTGAAATTTCACAATCAAATGATGCATCACTCACGAGAATTAATGCAGCAATATATTCGACTAAAATGATAATGATGGCGTCATATGAACATCTTCAATATCATTTTCAATAAATTAAAACTTTCTTCTCAACATCTTTAAACGATGGAAGTGATTTGTACTTATTTTGTTGCAATCGTTCTGTACTTGATTTTTCGTCGCATTCAGTCGAATTATGATGAATAGATACCTTTTTAAGACACCTTGTCCCACCAGCATCACAAATCTCTTTCATTAAACTCTCTCGAAGGTCACTTGAAGCTGGCTGATTGGCTCTCGCTGGCCTCGGCTGAAATTATGCACTCATTTCCATCTAAGACTAATCAACATATCACTAATTTGCTGACGATTACAGGCCTATCCACTAACAACATCACTCATGAGTATTAATACAGCAATATTCGACTATCACTTAACCAATGATCACTTATTGACTCGAAATTTCACGAGCATACCGAATTTGGTGCTGACGGTTTGAAGTTCACTGTTCTCAGTTCAGCGATTAGGGGGTTGAAGTTGGGTGATGGTGACTGACGATATTGTTGCCTCGACGAGGTGGCATAATTTCTCGGTGACTGCGGGTTATCCCTGAGTCGGAGCTGCGATATGACTGGTGCAGGACCTGGAGGTGGTGGTGGTGGTGGGCCGGATCTAGAGATACTGACCTGTGGGGTTGAAGATTCATCCAGTTCATTAGTAAACGATGGCATCGACGAATATCGCGAAAATTGTTGAGATGATGAATTCTCACTCGGCAACATTTGGTTCGGTTTGTAGTCCTTAAAAACACGTTACTTTTCAATATCTTCATTGTTTAGCGGTAATGAATTCGTTCGAATCAGTGTTTTGCAATCTACATCAAATGGACATCTTTTATATACCGTTGCATATTTGCTGATTAAAAATCATCAAGATTTTAGTGTTACATCATATCAAGCAAATATTCGATCATTTTCACCGGTACTTACTGTACAATCAATATCAATTTTATTATTGCTATCGTTTACCGTTTTGCAACTCTTTTTCTACCGATTTCTATTATAAAATCTTTTTGAGTCTGTAATTTCCACTTCAATCAAAGCACAAATTCGTTCGTGCCTGAGGAAAAATGAACATTTACCGGATTATCATCACGAACGAAACCCAGTTGAATTCCAACGCGTTCGACTGGCCTGTCAACTTTCTTGAGTTTAGGGATTGTAAATTGTTGTTGTTCTTGATCGTATTCATTCTGAAAGATAGTTTTGATATATGGACCAGTTTGATGAATAAAGCATCGAGCATTTTCAAAAAGTATCTTGCAATGCATTCATCTTTGCATCTTACATCTTTGTTATTATCGGATACTGATTGTGAGTAACTGGTTCTCCGATCGCTCTGGGCAATCAGCAAAATGCTTATCGTTATTACGATTACTTACTAGTTTGGTATTCAGTTATGTGAAGTTTTTACAGCAACAGACGTTCATTATTGCTCGAATGTGGATCATGCATCTATATGGTTACTTTCGTTAAAATTATTGTTAATTATTGATCTCAAAATGTAAATGCTTTGCTACGGCTGACTTTTTCAAAAACAATTACTCTTATTGTTAGCAATCACTTGACGCATGCGCAATAAATCGAGCGGAGTGCATTTTCGGGCAATATGGAAGAGTAGCCGTACATCCCTATGCCCACCAAACCAATAATCGAAGTTAGAATCTTATGAATACAGTCGATTCTCAGCGTTATTATCGTTAGCCGCGCAAAAAACAGGATAACAAGGAAGAAAAAAATGCAATATTGATTATAGCAGAGAGGCGTAAACTCGTAATGAGCTGTAATTGCTGGTTAAATAAATAAATTTCCGAAATCACATGAAACCTTATCGTTGTACTGGATTGATTGTTGAATAGTTTTGGCGAATAAATGTGATGACCGATCTAGATTATTGATTTGATTCGAATATTCCGTTGCTGTGGGATGCATGTTTTGAGCTGATGAAATCACTGAACGAATGCTTGTCGTAATTGGTTGTTTGCTATCACCGTCGTCACTGCTGCTTTTACCATTACCATTATGATCTTCGCTAACATTGTTCCTCGATGGATTGGCATTATTTTTGTTCATATTTGTCGAATTTTGATGCATCACTGAAGGGTGGTTGTAGTTTTGGAATTTCAGTGGTTTCTCAACATTGGCTGAATGAGTTTCCAATTTAACATTCTGGAGGACTTGTTTGATATTTGATGTACTGCTTGGCCTTGAGCAGGACTTTGTTGACTCGTCGCTCGTTGACGTAGTTGATTTTGAATCGAAATTCTTGGCTATTGCACTAATGCTGATTTGTTTTGGAATCGTCGTTTCATTACGATTATTTGATAATTCGCTACGATTGCTATTCTGAGACCCGTTCACTTGGTGATCATTAATTCTTTTGACTGGTGGAAAGTCTTTTTTGGTCGTTGTCGTTTTGTAAGAATATTGCGATGTTGATGAGGACCACGGTGGTGGTGCTGCTGACACCAATTTATGATTTGCTGACGATTTCGTTTCGAAAGTCTTTCGAGATGATTCCACTATAGAGGACACTGACACCGATTTTTTCGGCTTTTCTTCCTTCAGTTTCACCTCAAATTCCGTCTCTTTCATCTCAGATTCTCTCCTTGACGACGTTGATGAGGACAACGGTGGTGGTGCTGATGACACCAATTTATGATTTGCTGACGATTTCGTTTCGAAATTCTTTCGAGATGATTCCACTATGGAGGACACTGGCACGGATTTCTTCGGCTTTTCCTCTTTCCATTCCACCGCAGATTCTGACATTCGATGATCTTTATCGACCTTCTCCTCGACAGTAGCAAGTTTGTTGACATTTTCATGCATTTTCTTCATTTCTCGGTGACGTTCCACTTCTGCCTCAATCTCACGCTGAATTCGCTCGAAAGCTTCCTCTTTTCGTTTCTGACGTTCCTGATTCTTCAACGACGACGCACTTTCTCCTCTCAGCGTACTTGTCACCCAAACCTTTTCATCTATTGATCCACATTCAAACTTTCTTTTACTCCAATCGGTGGCCTTCGTTTTGTTAGAAAAAACTGCTGAAGTTTTCTGGACGTCTTAAAATTTCAACATCATTATGATCTTTGTTCTGATTCTTATATAATTGTCTCTTTTTTTCTCATGCATACAATTGATAGTTTCATTTTGGCGCATTGGAATTGTTTAATTCGGTCAGAAACAACGGAATGATATCTAAATGGGACAAAGTATTCTTTTCATTATACATCTGTTTCGCGAGAGAATTCATCAATCATGCCTTAATAAGCATTCATATTTTATAATGATCCTTCATTCCATCAGAAAAACCCATCTTAGTCTGTGGAAATTGAAAAACTCAAAATTACTATCCAAATCAAATCGCTCGTATAGAAAAGGACTAAACTGAAATTTAGGTATGTATTAAGAAAACGAAGGGAATGAATGACTTGTGTCACTCGCGATTTGAATGCCAAAATTTGCAGTTATAAATGCATCACAGAAAAGCGGATTACTTGAATAAATTGGTTGGTTTTGTTTTGGTTGTATGGTCGTTCCATAACTGATCGTATTGTACTCAGGTTTCGGATTATTATTATTTCTGATATCAATGGAGCTGTTCGAGTCTTTACGAGCATTTTGTTGTTCATTTGAAGAGGATACTGTTGCTGCGGCAGTTGGCTTAACCATTTGTTGCGTGATGGTTGTTTGGTGGGCATAACCAAACGATATGTTGCTATTTGGTGATTTGTAATCAGTTTGAGGTGATTTTCGTTGTTGTGTGGATAACGATTGTGGGAATTGTGATATGGGGGTGGGGGGTGAAAACTTATAGTTGCTTAGTTGAGGTCGTTTCTTCTGCGCTGACGGTAAAATTGGAATTGGTAAAGGGGGACAGTCGGCGATATCTTCTGCTGGTGCCTGAGCGCATAACTTTCGAACAAGTTCCAACTGTGCTACCATTCGCTCCTTAAAATTTGCTTCATATATTTACTGATCATTATGATTGTTTAAAATATGAATTTTTATGTATTCTACTATATTGTAATAATATGCGTCATATTTATCACTCGTCGCTGATTCGCATCTGAGAATGAGTTAAGATCGAGATGAGTGTTCGGAACTCTCGTGCTAGCTGTGAAGACGATGCGCAAAATTCATGAATTTCGTTTGCGTTCTGTTTTGCGCTAATGATGCCCCGAAATTCAGGCACCAGTACGACGTCCAACCGTGCGCAAGGAGTGCTTAGGCTCAAATTTAGNATCATTCCCTTGTACTCAAGCCATTAGTGCCCAAAGACCTATTTAGGCCAGAAAAATTTATATATATGTAAAAGATGATTCATGTTTAAATGATGATATCGGAAAGGCAGTTTTTCACGAAATGTGATGATCTCTGTGACACGAGCACTTTTTGGTTTTCTTCATACCAAGAATTAAGAACTAGAAATTTTGTACTCTAGGAATCATCTTCTCTGAAAACTATACTTATCAAATATAACACGCTGGACAGGCCAGAAAAATATATCTCAGGCACAAAAAATTAAGTATTAACAGGCCAGGAAAACCCCACTTTTCAGAATGGGACCCAGTGAACACTAGTGGATGAACACATGTGCACATCTATCACCGTACCGATGATATTCATCATTCGGTTATAAATTCGGTAATGCAGCATGTATCATCAACCTGAAGTCTGAGGGTGTAGGCGTTTTTGGCACTCAACGGATCAGAACAACGCGAGTGCCATTCATCGAAAAGAGCCTTCATTTCGGCATATTCCTTCTGAAGAGTAGTATCTTCTTTTGAATTGTGAGTGATATTCTTGTCTGTTCTCACATCCTGCGTTCTTATCGAGTCGGATTGTTGTTGCTCTTTGACTCTAAACGTTTTTTTTTTCAATTTCAGTTCATTTGGGGAAAGTATAACACGTGCGTATACTTGAACAGAGATTTCGGGAGTGTGTTGCGTTCAATCAATTGACTCTGTATGCAGTTCAAGATTGTGCTCAGTTTTCTTCACGAAGTTGTTCACTCTTTCGAAATAGTCATACTTGAAATCTTTCATTCAATTTTGATAGTGTTTGACATTCAACTAATAGTAAATATGCTGCAAAAACCATTTGCAAACAGCGCTCGAGCCAAAGAATAATTGAAATTGCGCAAGAATGCGTTCAGTGATAACATTAGGGAATTAACTGCAAAATCACACACAAACACATGTGTGTGTGATTTTGCAGTTAAAACAAAAATTAATTTCACAAATACGCACCCAGGCTTTTGACCTTGCGATGAAGTAATGATAAAATTCGGCCGTTCAAATTTCGCCAACTGAGGTTTGAGGCTTCCGAACTGAACATCGCGTTTCTCCTCAGAATTGGCGCCGGTTGGCGAATAATGAAGAATGTCCATGTGATAGTTCTTATTTCGACCAACTGAGACGGCTTCAATAACACGAAACGATGAACTCGGTGTCGATTTCGATGAATTCCAGACTGTTTTACTTTTTTGTGGCTCTGAAGCAGAATATATAACCCATTTACTGCACTCAAAATCACTCACACTTCCAGTATGCGATTGTGCAGCTGGAAAATATTTTTCATTCACAATTATCTCTGACAAATTACGGAAAGTTCTGATGTCTGTTTCAAAGGTTTGAATGCGAAAATTTTTTTTTTTTTGAGGAGAATCATTTCGAGTTTATTCAAGGAGAACTGTTGCGACTTGCAAACGCATAAAATCGTGCGTGATACCATCTGCAAGTGTTGCATAAATATCCTCGAGATCAGTCATTGTTGCCTTCTGATTGATCTGTTGAGTTGAAGTATCTTTTGTGTTTATAACTTCTGACGTATCTGACTGATTATCTGTAAAATTATAAATATTGTATAGCTGATATTCATTCTTTCCACCGCTGAAAATATTTTCCACAACTTCATAATTCTTTCCACAGAAAATGTTATTTTCGAAA